ACCTTGTTCCAGCACCTGTCCCTCCTTGAAGAGAAGAAGGAGAAGAAGAGGAAGAGGAAGAAGAAGCCCTCCCTCCCTCCCGGTAAATGTCTTATCACCGTCTCGAATCACCACCTAACTTCGCCTTGCATACGCAGTGTCTGCGTCCATCCAAATGTTTGATTGTATAAACCAACCACATCAAGCGTCCTTTCCGTTGACTCTTCCCTTCCTCATCCCTGTCAGCTCGTTTCGTATATGTATGTATGTGTGCCATGTCCCCCTTTTTCTGTAGTTGGGGGCTCTCCTAGGCCTATACTTGAAGGCGCCTAGCTTTCAAGACTCGAGTTTCATTGCGAAGGCGATGTGGTGGTTTCACCTCACAGCCGAATTGCAGCTCATTTTACGAATTGAGTAGGTGGTGTTGCAGCGAGTCAGACTGGGGGGACCACCTCAAGCTTCAGGCCGAGTTCGGGGCTAGAAGCTCGGGGCCGGAGCAGATCCACGGCACGGCGATAGTGGTGGTATTATTAACCCTAAGGCCAAGCCTCGCGGACAAGGAGCGGCGGAAGGCCGCATTTCGGAATGGCATGGTTTGGCATGGGAGGGAGGTATTGATACTCGGCCGGTCAGCACACCACTTACTGATTCCCTTTGTTATGCGGGATGTCTGGGTCGTGCGTGGATGTGTACGACCGTGCTCAGTGTGCAATCATATCCATGCAAGAGTTACGCCTCTGTCGCACGCATATGACGGCGTTGGGCGTTGCTAATGACTGACTACGGGCAGTACTGTCTTGATCATAGATGGTGATCCTCAACCCTGCAATCTGCAAGTGTGTGTGTGTGTCAAGGCGTCGTAGGATGGCAGGATGGTACAGAGTGCAAAACATCTCATTACCAGTGTCTTAGGACTGTGCATCTGGCTTGGATCATTGTTGTTATTTCAGCACAGCATACCAGTCCAATGCGCAGTGATCAGATTGCTCCTCACTCTGAGAACAACAATTCCCATATGTTTGATGGAATCCCAACAAAAATCAGCCCTTGTACTGTATGTAGCAATCTCACACTGAAAGCTTATCCTTATCCAACCCCGGATTCACTTTGTTACCTCTCTTTTCTTTTTCTACGCCAATCACATAGAGTTTTGCTTTTTATAATGGTCTAGAGCAATGGTCGGCCAGCTTGACCAGATATGAAAACAGCGGCTCAGTGCTCAGTGGTATGTATGCAGGTTGCAACTCTCATCACTGCCGATGTGACATCCTTAATCAACATGCAGATGGAATGAACAGTTTGTGGCTTTTTTTCTTCTTCTCGTTTTTCTTGTCGTCCCATTACACTGGTACATACATACTGTACATACAGGGGCTTGGTTTCTTTTGTCGTTATTTGTGTGTAACAGTCTAAGACCTACCACTTGAGTGAGTTCCTAGTCCGAGCCACCAAAGACCCAAAGACAGATTGACCCGTTTCCTTCAATACCAATACCGTCCGTGTCCTCTAATATGATCATATTGTCATGCCTAACAAGGTAATAGCGTTTGTGATATCTGAGATTCTTCAAGCCGCTAGCAAACAATTTGGACCGCGCATAATTCGCGAGTGGAGGCTATGTGGCATCAAAGATACAGTACCTGTCGAGTTGCAACCCTTTCCAGATACCATCATCACATTTCGTGTCACTTTTGTGATACTTCCTGCAATACTCTCCTAAGGATATCTGACCAAACACATTAGGTACTTGAATCAAAGTTTCCTCCCGTGTTTCAGAGATTAGCTGTCTGTGTGGCAAGCCTTGGGCGCGTGGTGTAACGCAAGCATATACCGGGATGGGATGCTCAAAGATTCTCTCAGGGTATATTTTGCGAAAGAGAAATGGGGAAAGTATTTCATGATCGTGATATGAGGTTTAGTACACTTGGTAAACGGCGCCGACACTCCCACCTGGTTGTCACCTCTTCCCGCTCCAACTCCTGACCAGTCGTGATATCTTTAAAAGCAAACAAACAAACGTGGCATTAGTGGTAGTGTGCTTAGTTGAGGAGGATAGAAACCTGAATGTGGTCAGCGCCTTCAAAATCATATGGAGCAGTATAACGTACAGCCATGAGGACACAGCATATACTTATGTATGGACTCAGTCTTTCTCCTATCCTCGCGCATTTCCAGAAGATGCCCATGAACCTAGTGTTGTCAGCCCCATCTCCACGATAACGGCGTGAGTCGCATTTCGTACCCGTTCTTATTTCGATCCATGATGCCAGGTGTAAAGTGGTGAACGTATGCGCTCGTGCATATAAGCAGCAGGAGGACGAGGAGGAGAGATTGGAAGTTGAAGAGGGCGGACTAGAGTGACTATTAGTGCGTTGATTCACCGTTGTAGAGCCCAGCGCATACCATTTTGACGCCTCGATAAACTGCTACTATAGTGAAGAGGTATTGAGATCGTCTATCTCGTTCGTATACTTGGGTGTCAAGCTCAACGTAAGGTTGCCTTCTCACATGCGACAAGCTGTGCTTAGGGGTAAAGATTCGCCGGAGCCGCGACGTGTTTCCAAGCAAGCCCAGGGGGTGACGTACCTGGAAACAACCCCCACAGAGCTACGACCCCACTAAACAACCCCCCAGATTGAGCCTCCAGCTGTCGCAAGGCTACGCTGAGCTGAGCACATGAACTTTCTGGTATTTTCAACTACATGTCTATCGCGAGGCTGCGTGACCTCGATTTTCAGAAGCGATCTTATTGAAACTTTTATCTCTCTACCTAACCAGATCTCTATTCTTTTTTGTTCATTACATGCTTCAAGCGCGTTAGGCGCAATCAACCACATTCATCATGGAGCCTCGAGCGCGTGCCGGCAAGAATGTCGGCAAGATGAACTTCAGCCATGCAGAGTGTACGTCGTCTCCAGTCCGCTCTGCCAAGATCCTCGTATGCTGATCCTACAACAGTGGCACAGCTACTCTACGCACACGGCGATGTTCAAAACCCACTCCCAGAAACCGTGCGAGTTCTTGACGAAATCCTCACTGATTTCATGCAATCCATCGCCTTCGAGGCGACACGAGCAGCTAATTACTCAGGCCGCCAAAAGATCAAATACGAAGACTTTGAGTTCGCGTTCCGTAAGAATCCCGCGTTCCTAGGCAAAGTTCAAGAGGTGTTTGAGAAGCAAAAGGAGATCAAGAAGGCTCGTGAGATCTTGCGCGATGGCGAGGACGAGATCATGAAGGATGCTGCGGACGAAGAGAAGAAGCGAGAAAAATCCGATACGAGGACGGGAGGAGCAGTTGGAGCCGCGGCGTCAAGGGTCGAGGAGGAGTTGGGTGAAGCTGACGATGATGCTGAAGCGGAGTTCGATGCGTTGGGTAAGAAGCGATGAAAGAAATTGAGTAGAGCCGGGCTCTTACTATTGGCGTTCTACCACTTGATTCTATTTCGGCGTTCTACAGAGAGATTGTCATGGGTTGGGAAGGCGTTTAGAGCATACTATCGTGGATTGGGTTGGAGTTACAGCCAGGACCAAGCAAAGACACGTCCTAATAATCAAAGGATCCTCATGCTGTTGGGTGGCATGCATTGGAACAATCGAACCCTTATGGGATCTTGATAGCTCAGAGTCTAGGCACTAAATATTGAGGTTTTGATCACGGATGAGTAGCTGCCATACCAAGTCAAAGCCCTGGTCCATTTTGAGATCAATTGGCATACATATAAGCGAATGACTGATTCTGAAGTACGATTCAGAAAAACCGTAGACCCATTTCGAGCTTAGAGACCACCATATATATCGATGTATCCCCAAAGGATTTATATGAACTTTCTTACCATGAAGCACTAAGACTTGAAACCGGCGACCATACGAGAGGATTGCATCTTTGCTGGGGCCACAGTAGCCCTTAAGGACCATTGTATGTATCCCAGTTCTGCCGACGTATATCTCAATGATCTGGTAGACAATACTTGTAAGAGGGTAGAATGAAACAGTGGTTGATGTTTAGGCATGTCAGAGCGCCGATTCAGAGCCCGTTCCCAAGATGATTATCTCTGGTATCCTTCACGGGCCCAACAATCTCTGAGGCTTGGTTGGAAATGTGTCTTGATTGCGAGTCTGAGGTATGATGTTGTCTAGGGCCAATTACGAAGATCCAACGAACAAACCAGAATCTTGAATGTAGTAACTGCGAGCAAGATTTGTTCGAGAAGTCAAAGGCACCGCGCTGATGAGAAATCGATGGGAAAGGGAGGTATGAATATGATGGAAAGGGGCCTGCCGACTGGCTTATAAGTGCTGCTTCCAATGGGTACTGAAGGCCTACAAGTATACAGCGATCCATGGTCTCAGGATTAACTCAATACGGGGCTACGTTAGGCTCCTAGATCTAATGAATGACCTAACTACATCGACTTGGATGCCATATGTGCAATAAACCCATCTGCAATATAGGGTGTAGGCTCTGCATAACTCACTTATGCTGACCTAAGTAGGCAGTTATTCTCTCCCCAGGCCGAAAGTCGCAGATTGAAGTTTGAGGTAGTGCTATCATCTTATGGAACTACATGGTAGTTTATAGAATTTAACTCTGAAGGTTACCAACTAATGACATCGATAAAACCTAGAAGGGATGAAAGTGATGGCAGTGATGTCGGTATAGCAAGATGAGTTGGAGCACCGAAACATGCAACAGCCTTTTGAACTCTTGATTCAGTTGGCTCGAGTGAATCTCTAAATAACATGGTATATGTCTGATGAAGCTGGAACTTGTTGCCTTCAGTGTTGAAGCAAGCTATAGTTTGCGAGTACGGCTGCACCGAAAACACGGCTGCGGCTCACTGTAGCCAAATCGACTCGTCTGCCCGAGCCCCTATAATACTGGATGGATCTGTTGGTGCATCTGTGATTTGAGATACCCGTAACTGGGTAACGTATAATGAAATGTTATCCACGACTGAGGCAGAGTTTACCTCTCCGTTTAACAATTAATGAGCATATATATCGGAAATAAGATGACACTATGTACTATTCCCGGACCCATCATCACTTCTACTCCGTAACCGTTCAGTCGTCACATCTTCATCCTCGGCCGACTTAACCGGTACCGAAATCGGGGCGAGATAGGGCGCAATTTTTCTAGTTGCAGAGCCAAGACGATCAAGTGGTGGCCAAGTCACCCACACACATCCACAGCATCTTCTAAGCGCCCACTCGCTGACTTTTGAGGCCCTCGCCACTCGAGTCTCTTTTCTTTCTGCTCGCGTGCCCTTGCTCTCTATGACTGAGAAAGACTTCTCACTAATGCTGAGAAATAACGTGTGCCTGAAAACCACTGATTCTCACTCAGCTTAGACCGTCCAAACAAGAGGCTTCCTTTCGTCATCAAGGGTCTTGAAGAGTTGCCTACCAGGGTCTAGTACCGTAGTATATGTACTGTCAACTCCACCCCCACTGCAAGAGACTTCTTCTTGTTGGCTCATCGGTTGGTTGATGTGAGAGAAGGGAGTGATAGAGGATCCATGATCGGTGGGTTTCGGCTGCGGGGTGGTTGGTTATCAATGGTTGACGCTCAAAGAGTCGTCGATCCGGAGCTTTTCCCCTACCTACTTGAAGTAGGTACTGTAGTGACCTATTTGTAACAAAACATTTCTATTCGCTTCTCAACTGTGACTTTGTTCCTTCTTCCTACTGTGCCGTATCTCGTCGTTAACTGATCGTGACAACCTCATGGAACTAGAGATAGCTTCTTATCATCTTACACTATGAATCCAACCCCTCCGCCGTATGAGGAGGTTCCTCAGACCAAACTGCTGCCTGGGGATACCCATGAATCACATCAGCACTTATTACCACCTTCGCCATCACCAAACGTCTTGTCTTCAAAGGTTGATAGTTCGAGTTTTGATGACTTCCGCCGAATGTCTTCGAGTACATCTCCATGCCCCTCGCCAATACCTCTAAGACAATTCTCACACCAAGGACTCGATTTACCAGTCGAAGCTCCACCGTCGAAATGGAGACAGTTCTGGATAAGGAATAAGCCCGCTGCCTACGTTGCTCTATCGCAATTCTTTGGGGCACTGATGAACCTCAGTGCTCGTTTAGTCGAACTCGAAGGCGACGGCATGCATCCTGTTCAGGCCCTACTTATGAGACACTCCATCACAGCACTATTCTGTTCGGCTTACATGTGGTGGAACAAAACTCCTGACTTCCCCTTTGGAAAGAAAGAGATTCGATGGCTGCTGTGGTTGCGAGGAGCAAGTGGTTTCTGGGGTATTTTTGGCGTCTGGTATTCGATGATGTATATCTCACTCGCTGATGCTACTGTTATCACATTCTTGGCTCCTGGTGTTGCAGGCTTTATCTGCTGGTTTGCTCTTCGTGAGCCGTTCACTAGAATCGAGCAACTTGCCACGTTGGTTGCTCTTCTAGGTGTTGTACTAATTGCTCGGCCTGCCTCGCTATTCTCGAGCTCTGACGATGGAAACTCGACTACCGAGCCGCCCGAATCTAGTGGTATACCAGGTATTGACCATGAAGCCACCCCTGAAGAACGCTTGATAGCTGTTGGTATAGCCCTTCTGGGTGTTCTGGGAGCAGCTGGCGCCTTCACGACCCTCCGAACCATCGGGAAACGAGCACATCCTCTCATCTCAGTCAACTATTTTGGTATCATCTCGACCTTCATCGCTCTATCCATGCTCATATTTGCCCCTATCCTCGATATCCAGCAACCAGGTCTGCGATGGGTTACTCCAACCACAGTCAAGCAATGGGCACTGCTGCTTCCCCTGGGTGTCATGGGTTTTATCATGCAGTATCTCCTTACGGCAGGCCTCGGGGCCGACAAGTCAAACCGTGCTAATTCCATGGTTTATACACACATGCTTTTCGCCGCAAGCTTCGATCGATGGGTTTTTGGACACAGAATGGACTTCATCAGTGGTGCAGGATGTACTCTCATTCTAGGAAGCGCTATTGGCGTCGTCATGCTCAAGAAACCACCAACTACAAAACAGCCCCTGGATGATGTTGAGAGACATGGGAATTTGGAGGGTGAGATGGAGGGCTCCCCCATGTTGGTGCCCGATTCAGGGGCGTCAGAGGAACTGAGGCTTTCGAGATGAGAGTTAAAAAATAGTTTGAATATTCGTATACATCGCTTAGAACGTCTGAATCATTAACGTTGGACCGTTGCACCTCAACAAGTGCCACACTCTATTTTGACTTCTGAAATGAGTCCACTCAACTCTATTGTAGGACTTTCTTGATTAGCGAGACAGGGATGAAATGGCTACTATGCTCGGTTTATGCCGAACCCATCTGAGTGGCGTTGTATTTATAGTCTCCAGAATGGACGAACGTGACTATCTATAAGCTTCATTATTTGTCCGAACCCCTATTTTCGTTCACTGAGGGAATGTGAAACTGGGCTCCTCCAGTAACTCCATCATTTGCTGACTGCTATTGAACCATTCGCCAAGTTGCGCCGTGTTACCCATCCACATCATCGTGTTTGCTCCTCTCTGACCATCGGCGCCATCAAGCATACTCATATCCCCGAGCGGTTGTGAGAACGCACCAGCCTGACTAGGGTCCATGTGCGTCGATTGTTGAGTCCCGTTATTCAGATCTGCTGGTGGAAATCCGAGAGCAGCGAGGTAGTTGTTAAGTTCAGCACTAGCCTGTGTTTGGTCGGCTGGAGGAGTGCTTGTCCGGAACTCTATGTATCGGAGTGCTACTGTATAGAGGACCTGGAACAGGCGGTATGTCTTCGCCGCTGCATCTGATAGTTGAATGGTAGTCTCAAGAGATGTGCAGAAGCTATGCAGACGAGCAAGGTCCGTCTGGTCCTGGGTCTCAATGACTTGACAGAACACAACGATGAAAGGAATGAAAGGGGCAAAGAGTAATGTCCTGAGCATATCAGCATTGTCTTAAGATACCATGTAAGTAGTGTGCTCACCAATGAACGTAAGAAGGAAAATAGACAGTATTATCCCGTCCCAAGAGATCCATGCAATCTTGATGGCGATGTAGTGTTGCACGCGCAGCCTCAATACACTCTGGTATAAATGTCACTTTGGAGTTGGGTGGCCCAGGAGTGGCTCGATAAATCAGAGTCAGAAGTGAAAGTCGAAGAACGTCATCAGAGATGAGAATAAAATCGAAAAAGTACTCCCCAAGATTTGTCTTCACTTCCTTCTCGCGGGATTTCTGCATAACACACGTTAGTCAGAGGTTAGAATATCGAACATTCACGGTCTGGGCCCTCACACTCAGCTCCTTGCTCCTCCTCGAGATATCTTTCAGATCGTTCACAAGCTTTTGAGCACGGAATCTCCTCACATCATCAGACTGTTTCATAGAGTCTGGGCTGTACAGCAGCTCATATATGTGTCCTTGACACCGAGCTGTAGCGACCCAGAGGCAAATGAAGGCTGATAGGGGTGTAGCATTGGGAGGGTTCGAGGTAAGAAGCGGCACGGTGACATCCCAGTCTTGGATAGTAGAAGCCCTGCCGAGCCTAAGTGAGAGACTTTTGTCTATGAAATATGTGTTCCAAAATAGAAACTGTTTGCGCTGAGCCTCGCGCGGCTTGTCATTCTTCATGGTTGATATCCGGTGATAACCTAGAGTCTGACATAGTTCGGAGGCCTTACATGATAGAGTCCATGAGAGTGATGGTTTTGAGATCTCAATAGCATAAAATGCCTAAAAGTCTGTGAGCATATGGTATCAAAAGAAATACCAAGGATGGCATACTCCAAGAAGAAGGGCAGAAATCATGTTTGAGGTTGCAGGCAGATTGAAAGGCAAATTTGCTAACGCCGTTTCGGTGTTTTCGCGAAGTGTTTTCATGTATCCCTCGCACTCTTCTTGTTCTTTGGCGTCTGAAGTACGCTGCTGGCGATCCGTGAACATGTACATCAGGCCAACGTTCACAAGGATGAAATCAGCCTCTGAAACATCTTCTGAGAAATAAACATGAAGACACATGCCCGAGAAGCTCTCCATGGAGAAGAACTCCCTTATCCAGGCAGACACTTCTGAATTCTCGGCTGAAGTTGGTTAGCCCAAACTGGCGAAATAGGGGATCCAGATCACTGACTCTCACATTCTCGTATCAAGGCAACGGCTGTTTGAATAGGAGGTAGTTCGTTGTTTTTTAGACTGGGACGTGGTAGTTGCCTAGCATGGGGATATGACATCTCCGTGGCAGCCGTCTGTTGCTTCAGAGAGCTGACGATGTGATGTAGTGAATCCAAGGTCTCACGTAGCTCAAGGCTAGCACCCTGTAAGGACTCTGTGCCAACAGCATTTTTCAGGAATTCGTTTGCAAATTCACCATGAGCAGCTAGGGAAGATTCTCCTTCGATGACCGGGCTGTCTGCAGTTTGCTGAGCGAGATGCCCATAGGGTGTTGAGCTCGAGGCTTGTGCTGGCGATTGGCGGGGAGCATCAGAGCTGGGCATGTGATTCTGATTGGGTTGGGTGCTTGTAGAGGACATGTTCATCTTCATATCACGCATGAGCTCGGTGAGGGCCTCAAGACGACGGTCAATGATGTCGATCTTTCTCTCGCTACATGGTTGTTTGGCTGTCAGTATGGTTTCATTTTTGGTGCAAACCAAAGCAGCCAGTGGTCGGATAATATCAGAAGCAAAAGACCCAGGGCAACTCACTATTGGGCAGAGAGGAGGATGCGGGTTCTCTTCTCCTTTGGGCGAGTATCATGGTGTGTACACGGGATCTTGGCGTGGATGCAATGAGAGCAGGGCGAATTCCTATCGCAGCGGATCTACATAGATTGATGTTACTATTTAGCTATAGTTTTTGGGCTGAGTGAAGTAATCTCAAGTAAAAGCTAGGACCACGTTGACGATGGCTTCCAGTCTTTACCCCAGCCTCTGTGGCTAGTGAGTCGTCTTTAATGACTGGAGCATTGATGGAGTGATATGCATAAAACATTGATTAGATTGATAAGTAGGTACATACCTTGCGAGTTCGGCATGCATCGCACTAAGATTAAGCAGTGTTAGTGACGAGAACGTGGATAGAGACAGGACAGGGCAGGGCTTCAGGGTCTGTGTATGTACTAACTGCTCGTCGAATAGTCAGGTTAGATGGATTCTGGGGTCCATCGGATCCCTCGTCAGGGCCATCGTCCAACTGGGCCCGAGAATCTTCAGCCATGAGGTCAAATACGGGAATCACGGGCACCGTTTGTTTGTGTGGATGACAGGACAGGCTGCAGACAGGGAATTACACGGCTGAGTGAGGGGTCAGTCAGATACAGACAAGATCCAATGCAATGAAACGATGCCACAGAGGAAAATGTTTATGGGAAAAGTCACGCACTACAAGCAACCAACCTCACATGGCGTTTTGAACGACTCACACCGAAGACTTGCGAGGTTCAACGGAACGCGCGGGGTCCGGAAGAATCGAGGCCGTTGAAGATGGGATACGGATGTGGAGACTTGAGTTTGCGGCTCCCGAGAACACCGTAAATCCGAAAGAGCCAATAGGAAGAGGTGATATCTCGGGGCAAGGATCTCCATTCAGATGGAAGCAACCTGATCATGATCTCATCTAATCTCTGAGTTGATTACGGAGTAAGGTTATTAGGTTGCCATCTCAAGGTACCTACGCAAAGACATTTGCGTAATCTGATGATGATGCAGTCTCACTTGGGAAATAATGCTGTGAAATACCAAGATCTATCTAGTTGATCCCTTTTCATATTGAGCCAAGACTTCAGCCATGAAATGAGGCATGTGTCCGGCATGATTTCCGAAAAGACCCTGGTTCAACTGGATGCTCAGTGGATGGATGGACTGCCTCTATACGAGTGAATAGATGGAGATGCTACTAATGAGGAGAAAATAACAAACTTTCCAAAGGCCTCCTGTTAAACAACAGCATCAAATATTGACAACTCAGCAAATACACAAACTCTTTCTTGCCTCAACCTCCGTGATCGCATCGATAATTTTCGTAGATATATCCATTATCAATCAGTGACCCACTTGGGCCACTTTACCTGCGGATCTGATAAAAAAAACACAAGCTAAAATGCCAAGGATCACCATTCGTTGCCGTCTAAATCTGGTCTACCCTCACTCCACCCCCAGGGTTCATCTCTCAAAAGTTCTCGGGTGCTGTTTTCTTCAAAAGCACGCTATCCCCTTGGTAAAAGTCATGATCTTCTCCCTCTCCTTTCTGGTTCCGTCAATCTATTTCTTTCTTCAAGGAGGGCTTATAGCCTGAATATACTGGCCTGATCCTTTGACTTTATATCAAAGCGCCAGATCACACCAGTTCACTTCTTTTAGGCGTCAGGATCGCCTGGTGCAGTTTGTGCGGCAAATCACCATGGCTCCCAGTATCAACGAGAAGGAAAATGAAAAGGTCGTAGGTGGCAGCGATGCAACCTCGACTCCTGAAGATGCTGTTGTCAACGCCGAGGGCGGCGATGCTACCACTCCTGGAGAAGAGGGAGAAATTGAGGGTTCTTGGGGTGACTACAAGGTAATAAACAGCGATACAAAACATGGGGAAAATATACTAACACTCCTAAGCGTATCCTCACATATGCAGGCCCTACAGAGTATTTGATGCAAGGCATTGCTCTCATCGCTGCCATAGGTTCAGGTGCCGGTATCGCTCTCCAGAACCTCATCTTTGGACGGTTCATCACCACAATTACCGACTTTACTTCTGGAGAGTCTCAGCCTAGCAAGTTCCGAAAGGAGGTTGCCGACCTAGCGTGAGTCCTTCATTGCCATATCCCCTATGTACAACTCTCTCCTAACGTTCATAAGACTCTACTTTGTGTACCTTGGCATTGGCCGATTCGTTCTCTCCTACATCTGGAACGTCTTCCTCACCTATTCCTCTTACCGCATTGTACGCAACATTCGAAAGGAGTACCTTCGCGCTGCTCTTCGACAAGAGGTTGCCTACTATGACTTTGGAAGCGGTGGCTCCATCGCTACGCAGGCTACCTCCAACGGCCGTTTGATCCAAACCGGCATCGCTGAGAAACTCGGTCTCTTCTTCCAGGGCATCGCTGCCTTCCTCACTGCCTTCATTGTCGCTTTCGTCGTGCAGTGGAAGCTCACTCTCATCTGCCTATGTATCGCTCCAGCAACCATCATCGTCATGACTGTTGTTGCGACGATGGAAGCTGTTCACGAAGTCAAGATTCTCGAGATTCACGGCCAAGCCAACTCGCTCGCCGAGGGTATTCTCGCTAGCGTGCGCACTGTTCATGCCTTTGAGATGCGAGCTAGACTCGTCGACAAGTTCGATAAACACCTTGAGGAAGCTCACACTGTTGGAAAGAAGATCTCCATTCTCATTGGTCTCATGTTCTCTGCCGATTACACCATCATCTACCTCGGTTTCGGCCTCGCTTTCTGGCAGGGTGTGCGTATGCTTTCAACTGGCGAAATCAAAAGCTCGGGCGTCATCTTCACGGTTCTCCTCTCTGTTGTCATTGCGGCTGTTCAGTTGACCCAGCTCACCCCGTACACTATCGACTTCAGCCGTGCCATGTCTGGCGCAGCACAACTCTTCACTCTCATCGACCGAGCATCAGCTATCGACCCCCTTTCCAAGGATGGCGAGACACCATCCGAGACTGTCGGACATGTCGAGCTTGAGAATGTTTCGTTTGCCTACCCCACCAGACCTGGTGTCACAGTGCTTGAAGACTTCTCTCTTAACGTTCCTGCTGGTAAAGTCACGGCACTGGTTGGTCAATCAGGATCAGGCAAGAGCACTATTGTCGGTCTGATCGAGCGGTGGTACAACCCCAAATCTGGTACTATCAAACTGGACGGTCGTCCCATTGGCAAGCTTAACCTCAACTGGCTCCGCCGAAACGTCCGGCTCGTCCAGCAAGAGCCTGTTCTCTTCGAGGGTTCTGTTTTCGACAACATTAAGCACGGTCTAGTTGGCACTGAGTGGGAGAACTCACCTGCTGAACAACAGATGGAACGGATCCAGGAGGCTGCCAAGATGGCTTTTGCCCACAATTTCATCATGGAACTCCCAGAAGGGTACAACACACAAATCGGACAACGAGGTGGACTTCTATCAGGTGGTCAGAAACAGCGTGTTGCTATTGCTCGCAGCGTCGTGTCGCAGCCCAAGGTTCTTCTTCTTGACGAGGCTACAAGCGCTCTTGATCCTCACGCCGAGAGTGTCGTTCAGCAAGCACTCGACAAAGCATCTGAAGGCCGCACTACCATCGTTATCGCTCACAAGCTCGCCACCATCCGCAAGGCTGATAACATCGTCGTCATGTCCAAGGGCTCTATCATCGAGCAGGGCTCGCACGAGTCCCTAATTGCTCAAGATGGTGCCTACGCTAAACTCGTCAAGATCCAGAACCTTGCAGTCGAGAATGACCCCAATAATGTTTCGACTGACGAAGAAGAGGAAGTTGCCCCTGAAGGAGACAAGGAAGAGCTCGGTCTTAGCAAGACGGTTACCCAATACGAAACCCACGTCCAGGAGCGTCTCGAAGCTGGCAAGGAGCTTGGCAACTACGACAACCACAAACAACTGGGCATCTTTTATGTCATTTATCGTCTGATTCGTGAGAGCCCAGAGGTTGCTTGGTCGTATTTCTTTGTTCTTGCGGGATGTTTGGGAGCTGTTGCAGCATTCCCCGGTCAGGCCATTCTGCTTGCGCACGTTGTCGAGGTCTTCACCCTTACTGGTGACAGGATGAGAGACCGCGGCGATTTCTACGCGAGCATGTTCATCGTTCTCGCAGCCGGTTTGTTGGTGTCCTACTTTGCTCTTGGCTATGCTACCAACACCATCGCTCAGTTCCTCAGCCACAAACTTCGCAAGCAGAGTCTCCGGGATATGCTTCGTCAAGATCTTCAGTTCTTTGACCGCAAGGAAAACAGCACTGGTGCTCTGGCCAGTCGCGTTGATTCCAATCCCCAGTCGATCCTCGAGCTAATGGGCTTTAACGTGGCCCTCATCCTTATTGCTATTCTCAACCTGGCTGCCTGCAGTCTCTTGGCTATAATTCACAGCTGGAAGCTGGGTCTGGTGGTCGTTTGCGCTGGTCTTCCTCCCTTGGTCAGCTCCGGTTACTTCAAGATTCGCCTCGACGCCAAGCTGGACCGGGATACCTCGAAGCGATACTCTACCAGCGCTTCAATTGCTTCCGAAGCTATCACTGCCATTCGAACTGTTTCTTCCCTAGCCATTGAGGAGTCAGTCTTGGACAAGTATGTTGATGAGCTGAACCAAGCCGTTACTGGATCAAAGAACGACCTTTTCCGTATCATGATCTTCTTTGCTCTGACTCAATCGATTGAGTATTGGTTTCAAGCTCTTGGCTTCTGGTATGGCTGCCGACTTCTTTCATTTGGCGACATCTCCATGTACAACTTCTTTGTCGCTTTCTTGGGAGTCTTCTACTCTGGCCAGGCTTCTGCCCAGCTCTTCCAATTCTCAACCAGTATCACCAAGGGAGTCAATGCTGCCAACTACATATTCTGGCTCAATCAGCTCCAGCCCAACGTCCAAGAAACACCTGAGAATCGGGGCAACGGTCCCAAGTCGGGAGGTCCGGTTGTTTTGGATGATGTCCGATTCTCGTACCCTCTTCGACCTCAGGCCCCTGTTCTCCGCGGCATCGACTTGGATGTCAAGCCTGGACAATTTGTCGCGCTTGTTGGCGCATCGGGTTGTGGAAAGTCAACTATGATAGCTATGCTTGAACGTTTCTATGATCCGTCAAGCGGCACAATCAGCATTGCTAACTCAGCACTTCCCACTCTCAACCCTCGCCTCTACCGCCGCATCATTGGTCTGGTTCAACAAGAGCCGACTCTTTTCCAGGGCACGATACGGGAGAACATTGCTCTTGGTGTCGATGAGCCGGAGACTGAGGGTAAGGACCCTGCCACTTCGGTTCCTGACAAGCGGATTGAGGCAGCCCTACGCGCAGCCAATGCATGGGACTTCGTCTCGTCTTTGCCCGAAGGCCTCGATACACAGGCTGGTTCGAACGGCGCGCAGCTGTCTGGAGGGCAGAGACAGCGAATCGCCATTGCCCGAGCCCTTATCCGTAATCCCAAGGTCCTTCTCCTGGACGAAGCTACAAGTGCACTTGACACTGAGAGCGAGAAGATTGTACAAGGCGCACTGGCAGAAGCAGCGAAGGAAGGAGATCGTATTACCATTGCTGTTGCTCATCGCTTGAGCACAATCAAGGATGCTGACAAAATTTGTGTTTTCTTGGGTGGTAAAATCACGGAGGCGGGAACTCATCAAGAGCTGCTTGCTCAGGGTGGATTGTATCGAAAGATGTGTGAGGCACAGGCTCTGGACAGTTAGACGTGCCTTATGTTATGTGTTTGAACTCGAGGACTAAAAGTTATAATCGTTAATCATAGCATAGATAATACCCTTCAATATTGATTCGTTTAGAAATATAGTGGTCATTCAACCCTCCAGGGTAGCCTCTGACCCAAAGGATGGAATTTGAAATTGCCATCCATGGATGATTAGATCTGTTGTCTTGGTTCAGGTAAGGAATGAGCCAAGACTACGCCCAGGGGCTACACTCTCGGCCGTGTCCAGGGGATGACCTTGTTCTATAGTAGATTTGATCGTGTCTGCTCATCAGATGTTCAATCAAGGCGAAAGATTTGGGTCTAGATTCCAGTCGTTGATGGGGAAGTGAGTCAGACGAGGGGCGGATAATCCACGGTCCCATATGGAGTATGGTCAGACAGGTACGGAGTACCATAATGTTAGTAGAGAACTCGGCGAGTTCCAGGACGCATGCAAGGTGCATACGTGACCGAAAGAAAACAATACTAGGGATGAAGATGCTGAAATGGGCTGCTATTCGAAGCTCATCAATGATATTGTGAAGTGAACTAATGAATAAATAAGAGGGCTTAGGAGTATCCTAAAAGCTATGCCTAATGAATCTGAAAGCGGTGCAAGTTCCAACTATATCTCATCAATTAAGGACCTCTTAGTACAGAAATTTATCATCATCCTACGGCGCCGAACGGGTGGCAGTTGCCTTTCTGGGCCCCCATATTTTGGTTCATGCCAACTTGCACTTATGAGAGATCTGTACTGCTTCCAGAACGTTTCCCTTCCAACTCCAGCAAACGCCCTCTTTCGTTACCCAGATGACCATGGCGAAAGGGCTACTCTAACTAAACGCGACAACACACAATTTGATTCTTGTATACTAAGTACGAAATTCCTCTCCTGGCTTCTGATTTGCCTTATGTTACAAGGCCCCCTCTACCCCCTGAAGTCGCAAAGCTCCCGTCCTAGCTCCGCGCAGATTAGCTTGCTCGGTAGTAGCCCCCTTTGTACTGAAACCGTTCCGCTGACACGATTGCAAAAAGTATTTGCTAGTTATTGGCACTTCTTTCCTTTTCACCCTACAAGCCAACGCCCGAATCGGCTTCGCGATGGCTTCTGAATCGCCAAAAGCGACAGATCTGGCCACGATGCCAAACCATCACGATCCTACCAGCTCCACCGAGGCTCCCGCACATGCGACGTCATCTACAACCCCAGACGCGGTCGTCCAAGCCGATCTGCCTACAAGTCCAGACGTGTCGTCACAACAGGATCAAAAATCTTCGGAACAAGATGGCGCCGCCAACATCTGGCCTTCAAACGAGGATGACGGCGATGATAGCAATGACTGGCTAGCTTCCGATGATGCAGTCCCCAACCAAACACAAGAGGAAACCGCCCTCGAAGAACCCGAACTCGAAGTCGCCTCACAACCAAAGGCACCTGTATCTCAGCACTCAAGTTCCATGTCATTCGCTCGCACAGTGTCTCACGAAATCAGCTTCGGGGACGAGGAGGAAGGTGAATGGAATCTGAGTCGCACTGATACCGATCCTTTCAAGTTCATGCCGCCTACCGACCGAACAAACTCTTTCCCACCTGTGCCACCTGCCCACCCAAATTCCGAAGCAGAGGATCAACAACCTCTTCCTTCCAATCAGGCCTTGGACGTTTTAGAGGAAACCGAGAAGGAAGCGGATGCAGAGGAGGAGCTATACCAACGAGAGGAGACGACAGATGGGCTAGATGCACCCAGGCGAGGACACTCCTCGTCTATATCTATTGGCGGGGATTTGAAGAGTCCAGAGGGCCAAAATTCCGATGAACGATATGAAGAAGGGATGCCACTTATTCCCCCTCCCGAGAAAGAAAACCATGAGGTTCCTAGTGAACAACCAAGCCACAGTTTGAGCGACTCGTTCGACGATGAAGCCGGAGAAGCTGATGATTTCTTCAGTCAAGCTCAAGGCCCCGAACAGCCATCTGATGAAAAACCTGCCCCGGCTTTGGAACGAAAATCGACAATGCAAGTTTTGGATTCCATGAACGCAGGCGCCATCTCGAACAAGTCTGCACTTGAGGGAACCCCCGAAGAGGAAGAGGAAGAAGACGAAGAGGAAGAGGACGACAGCAGTGACGATGACGAGGATAGCGATGAAGACAGCGAGGAGGACAAAAAGTCAGCGCAGCCTGCGCCAACACCTGCTTCATCTGACCCAGCTGCTGCAGCACCCGACACCTCCCCAGCTAAGAAGGAAGACCTTGCCTCAAAATGGGAACAAGCTTTCGCCGATGACGAAGACGACGATTTTCTGCTTGAAGAGAATGCGGGAGATGACAAGCAAGTTGACCCAGCTGCATTCTTTGGAAGTGATGATGAAGGCTTTTTGGAGGATGAGGAGCCAGCTCCAGCTCCAGCTCCGGCCCCTACCTCACGTCAACTTTCTGCCTCCAATCCCTATATGCCGCAGGTACCAACTACTCACCCAGCGCCATCTCCGTACGCTCCCAGTATGCAAGTTCCTGCCGCTGCTGCTCCCCAAATCTCGGCATACAACACTCCAGCACCTGTCGTAGCACCTTTTGGTACAGCTCCTCAATACGGCCAGCCTCCGCCAGCACGTCCTGAGATGTCCAAGGCACAAAGCTTCGCAGATAAGTCAAAGGGAGGTTACCACTCACCGTATGACCTGCCTACCGATCTTGTCACCAACCTGGTGAAGCCTCGAAAGAGGGCGAGCATGCAACAGCTTTCCCAAGCTAATCAGCTTCATGCTCCGGTCCAACCTCCGCCTAGAAGTGCGAGCGTTGGCATGCCGGCTCCCCCAACGAGACTCACTCCTCCTTCCTCTAGCCATGGCCTGCCTAGCCACCAACAATCTACAGCACCTCCCAAACCCACTACTCCTGGTGCGCAACATAAGGAGAACTTCTTTGAGGAGTTGCCCATGACATCTAGACCACGGCCTAGTTCACGGACAAGCCAGAGAGCTCTGTCTCCCGCGCGAAATGCACCCCCAATGGCTCACGCACCACATATCCCTTCGCCATTAGCTCCCGCGGCACCAAACCATATGGTTCCGTCGCCTTTCACCCCGACGACGGTCACACCTGGTGACCCAAACAGCGATCTCACTAGTCAGTCGGCTCCTGTTCCAGGCGCTGGCCTGGTTGCGCCTGAGAGAGTCAGTCCTTATGCTGCCCTGACCACTTCTGCCAACCACATGCCTCCGCCCGCCTCTACAAGCACCTCTCGATATTCCCCTGCACCTGGTACAAGCCACACTGCCCCGCCAGCCCCTGCAAGCAGTCGTTATTCACCGGCACCTCCCGTCCCCAAGAGCCACGGTTCTTATGGAGCCGTGGCAACTGCTGGCCCCGGGCCTGTGCTCCCACATCAGCCCAGGACATCAAGCCCGTTGACCCATTCTGAGAGTGCTCACTTTGAGCCAAGGATGAGCCGAGTTTCGTCTCTGCCACCCACACGTGAGGTAGATGAGGAGGATGAGCAACAGACTCCCACTAGATCTGCGAGCGCTACTCATGCCATACCTCATTATGACTCGAGGTATAACCCTGCATCTCCTCCAAAATCCACACAGACACCACCACCTCCAAGCTATGCTGGCCAACTTACCCTCTCGCCTCCCAAGCAATCGGGCCCATATGTACCCCATGCCCCGCCAACAGCGCAGGCTGGCTTTGTACCACCTCCTCGCGCTCAGACGCAATCGCCAAGCGCATCCTTCGGCCATAAGCAGGCCCAGAGGTCCTCAGACTCAGCACGCCGACCTTCGTCTGCCCACTCACACTCCTATCCTTCTCCGGTAGGCGCAAAGACAGCCCCCTCACCTTATGCTCCAGTGGCTCCCACTGCTCCAATGGCACCAGCACCTGGTGTTTCAACTGTCCGCACCCGCGGCCAGTCTATCTCAATGAACATGGTTGCGCCCACTGACGGGCGGGAGCATGATGAGCTTCAGCGATGGAAAGGAGTGCCTATTATCTCATGGGGCGTTGGCGGTACTGTCGTCACCTCTTTCCCCAAGAGCGTTCCTCGGTATGGCATGAACCAGGCTGTTCCGATGATTGTACGAACACCAGGAGAAGTCAAGGTCCAGAGTGTCAAGGACATTGAGCCGTTGCACGAGCATGTGGCCAAATTTCCAGGTCCTCTCAGGGGCAAGTCAAAGAAGAAAGAGACCATCGCATGGCTCAGTGCTGGAATTGAGCTACTTGAGAAAGATCTTCCTGATGTCTCTTTTCACTCCCAACTCTCTCTCGAGGCGAAGAGAGCTGTGGAGCGTCTGCTCCTATGGAAGATTATGCGCGTCTTTGTTGAGAACGATGGCATACTGGAAGGTAACCCTACTGTAGAGGCAGCTGTCCGAGATGTCCTCTCGCCTGGTGAAAGTGCATCGTCCGCAAGTGATGATGCGCTTTTCCCTGCCGCTACTAGTTTTGATACAGGAGTACCCTCGGTCACGTCAATGCAAGCCGATGGTGTCGATGTCTCATCCATGGATCAAATCCGTCATCATCTCCTGAGGGGCGATCGAGACAAGGCTGTTTGGGCTCTTGTCGATAAACGACTTTGGGGCCACGCCATGCTGATTTCACATACTGTGGAAGGCGATCTTTACAAACGCGTGGCACAGGAATTTGTTCGTAAAGAAGTTAATTACCCTGGCCACGCCAACGAATCTATGGCTGCACTGTACAAGATTCTTTCTGGAAACCTTGAAGATTGCGTGGATGAATTAGTACCTGTTCATGCTCGGGCTGGTCTTCAACTGGTGTCCACTGGCGGGGGCTCAGGACCTACCAAGGATACCCTCGACGGATTGGACAAGTGGAGAGAGACTCTTTCTCTTGTCCTGAGCAACCGAAGCACTGATGATATCCAAGGATTGAATGCCCTCGGAAATCTTCTCTCTAGTTATGGGCGAGCTGAGGCAGCCCACATTTGCTTCATCTTTGGTCGCCATGCATCTATTTTCGGTGGT